CAACGCCACCACCATCACTATGAGCGGAACTTGTGAGCAATAGCAAAGTGAGTACAATGACAATTGTTAAGTCCACAAACTAAGCAAAGTGCATAAAGAAATCTCACTCTACCTACGACAACTTCTAATAGAGAGAGAGAGAGAGAGAGAGAGAGAGAGAGAGAGAGAGAGAGAGAGGAATAATGAAGAAGAAAAAATGGGTAGAGAGAACAACTAAATTTGGTCAGAGAATTAGAGAGAGAGGTAAATGTGTGGGGGAAATTAAATGATCAAAAGAAAAAAGAAATAGTATATCGGGGCGGGGAAATTTAATAATATTATTATTAATGTTAATAGTTGAATTATAATCTGATTTATGATTAATTAAATTTTACACCTGATTTTAGCATTTTAATTTTTTAAAATAGGCTACAATGTAATTTTCACTTTTCAATGGCCGGACATGGCCCCCAAATTTTGGGAGGTTCTTTGGGCTTGGTAGTTCACAAACAACGAAGCCTGACATGGTGAGTCGAATGGGCCAGGGCCCAACACATTTTGTATTTATTTCTCTCTTTTTTTAATTATTACTAATGATTTAATTTTTAGCTCTCCTTATGAGATTTGTCCAACGCTTGATGATTCCTAGACAAGAGAACCCAAAAGCCAAGGATTATGTTTAACTTACTGGCCAAAAAGGTTGAGCAAAATGAAAAAAGAAAAACAAAACAAAACCTCTCAATTGGCAAGAACTAGCAATGGAAGCAAAATATTAAGCACGAAGACCACAAACAACTACTTTACTACGGCCTATGAAGCATGGGAATAGACCCAAGTCCAGGACATGTCACGATATGATATTAGCACGTCGACTTTTAAAAGTAGGGTACAGAGACCCTTATTTTAAAATTATACATTTATAGATATTATATTTTGTGTGTGTGTGTGTGTGTGACTTGTCATACATTTCGAGTGTCAAATATTACAAAAACAATGGAGAAAAGGAGAAGAGGAGAAGAGGGGGAGTCGTTTGGGTTAGTTCAAAAAAGGAAAAAAATCTATAAGAGTTGTTTTTTAATCCGACAATAAAATCTGGTATATTCATGATACATGCCCAAGGTGCATCAGGAAGTGTCTCTCATGTCCAAAATTTAGAAACATATATAACGATAAGATATGTTTCTATAAAACTTGAAGTGTCAATGTCTAGTACGTGTACAACAAGAATTTACTATACTACAATATTGAAAAATCTTCTAATTTTGCTTAATAATTATTTGGATTATTATTGACAAATGATAGTCTAATCGGCCATACTAAATAATAAAATTATTGAACTTCTAGTTCAATATAAATATAAATATGTTTCAATTGTACTCCACAAGGTAAGAAAAATGCCTCTCCTTTAGTATCTCAACTAATGGAACATTGACACTACCAAAAATGGCTATGATAATGTCTTTCTTCATGAGTACCCCTTTTTCAGAATATTGAAATTCATGATGTTACACTAATGGAGAGTATTAACACTATTTTCGAGAATATTGATATGAACAAAATTTGTTCCTCGGCAACAAAAATACAATATTTTTTTCTAAAAATATTAATTTCTATAGAAAATTGCATTTCTTCAACAAATAATCAAAAAATATTCTTTGATATGTAGTAATAGAAAATTTATGAATCTTCAGGAGCAAAACTAAATAATATTCTAGAATATTAAAATTTGTAACGTCATGCTCTTCAAAAATAAATAATAATACGTTATGCTCTTCAAAAATAAATAATAATCAACCAAAATATTAATATAGTATTGTGTTTTTTTAGAAACAACAACAAAATATTTTTAGAAATAATGAATTGTATAAATAGTCACTCTTCAGAGCAATAATATATATATATATATAT